GGCAAACTTGTGAGCCTCAGTGGCACCTCTTTTGGCAAACCCAGTTTGGCTGGGCATTTACCCATGAGAAGATGGGCAACCTTGGATATTACTATTATCCTCTCTCGTCTTTTCTATGCATAGTATTCCTATTTCTTTTACACTAAGAGCATGCTTTGTCATTATGTGGCAGATGGCAGGACCCACTGAGAGCATGCAAGTTTGGGGGTCCTGGAGTACCCCTTAGTCTACACACTAAGAAGGGGAGATATTCCAGGGGAGGTGATGCTTGAGACAGGTGTCGAAGCTGAACAGAAGATAACAGAAGACGAAGTAAAGGGCGTACTTAGAAAGGGAACAAGGGCATGGAGATATGCCGCAGTGTGAGTTATTTCGGGAATTATGCTTAACTTAGCTATGGGGGACACAGGAGTGCTGGCAGCAGCAGGGAAGAGCCAGATTGTGAAGGGAAGTGGATACCAAATGAAGTCTGGATTTTATCCTGAAAGGTATGTTTAAAGACCTGGATCAAATATCCTGCAAGGAAACAACAAAAAAGACTGGAAGCACTTTCCTGAATGTTCAAACATCAGTTGATTCTGACTCTGAATCTTCTCCTTAAGAGAAGCTGACTTAGCAGGTTGAGCCCACAGCAAGGACAGAGGAAGGTTAGGTCTCAAGGTGAGGGGGAGAGAGCAGAAGTAAAGAAGAAGGTACTTCATGACTCTTATTCTTCCTCTTTGAGAATACAAACCTTCTGGCGAATTTTGAGTGATTTTTTTTCTTCTTTTATATAAAATTGGAAAATTCCGCTGACCTGACCTAGTCCCGCTGAGCATGCCAACTTACATTCCCAAAAAAAAAAACTTTATTTCTCAAATATGTGCTTGTCCTACCTACTGTTAGGATCTCTTCACTGGCCTCTTTCTCTTTGATTTTACTCCTGTCAAAAACAGGGGTTGGAAAAGGAAGGAATAAAGGTCTGGAAAAACCAATTCCTTGACACATACTGATCCCTTAAAACTCTTGATGTTTCCGAATAGGAAAGGTCCCTGGGGCGTTCTGTGGGGAGATGCATCTAATTATTTCTCTAAATCCTTGAAATCAGAGTGTGCATAGGAACATGCATACATGTGTTTGTATTTGCCTGTTAGGGACATTGCCAAGACTAATGGTGGATGAGGGCATGTGAGCAGAATTCTCCTTCTCAACAGGAAATTTGGGGATGTAATAGGTGTGGTGATAGTAGTAGCCCTTAAGGAGACTTGGGGATTGGCTCTGTCTCTGATTATTCCCAACCCTTGGACACATGGAGGGCTTGGATAACCCTCTTCTCTGTGTAAGTTGCTATCTAGATGATTGAATGCCCTCATGCCAGAATCCCTGCCAAGTATGATATGTACTAGAAGGAAATGCCTATCTCCCACAGGACTGTATCTTGGACTCCTATACATCTTTGATTAATGTGGAGAACATTAAAGCCTGCTCTCATTGAGTCGCAGATGTGTTAACCCAATTTTTACTAATTTACCTTAAGAAAAAAATACAGAATCCAGAGACCCAAGCTGCCAAGTATTTCTGATTTCAAAATATAATTACTGGGGAAGTGAGAGGAGGAGATAAAAATATACTATGTATTGTCATAAGTTGTAGACAATATTTTTAAAGTGCACAAAGAACACAACAGCTGAAATATGCTCATCTTATCATCTAGCACATACATCGTCAAGTCCCAGATCTGGAATTAGTGTATCAACTGGATCCTGAGACAACAGAGTTTGAATTATATACTCCACCCAAATTGGTTCCAGTGGCCTCTGTCTTTAGCTTTTTCCATTTATCCAAACATTGGAACAGTCCATTCCCAAGGATGTCAGGGAAGAGAATGGCAGGGAAGAGTCAGAAACTAGTTCAACTGCAGTTAAAATAAAAAAAAAAAAAATCCAGCCAGCAATCTTGCCTTCTTGAATTAACCCCTCTTGGGCAAAATTAACTCCCATTTCACTTTTCCAAGTGCTTTGCCTGTATACAAAATCCTTGTTTAAGAAAAACTTTCAAAGGTCTTAAAATTGCCTCATTTTACAAGTGCTACCATACCATACTTAAAAATTGGTATTTCAAACGATGTTTTTAGAAATCGGTTGGTGAGCGTGAGTTGTTTAGGGAAATGTGAGCAAGCCTCTGCTGGAGAATGCCAGGCAGCTGGCGAGGGTCTCTCAGCAGCCACATCATCACTCCAGCTTCTCAATGCTGAGGATCAAATTTGTTCCTAGGCAAAATGACAGATGCACAGATGCAAAATATATACAAATAAAGAAATTAATTTTAAAAAATGATGCGTGCCAAGGATCTCTGGATAACTTAGAAATCACAGGTGGCTGAGAAGTCTCTATGGAATATTACTAAAATGTTAATATTCTAGGAAAATACTGACAAATGAATATGAGATGATATTACTAATGTGGGATTTTTATCACTTAAATTCTGTCATTTAGCCAGTTAAAAAGTCAATCAATCTATATGTAAGTAAAGGACTGCTCTACCAACAGGACAGGGTGAAGTTTTAGTCCCTTATAAATAATCTTTTCAGAAACCTACAAAATACTAATTTCTATTGATTTGAACCATTGCTTGCAGGTTTCCTATATTATTACTTAAATGCTGTTTATTAACTTGTGTGCTTAAGACCTTATTCTGACAATAATTTATATAATAATTAAAGTTTCTAAAACCTCATTAGAAAATCCTTAATTCAGATTTAGAAATTAACACTGACTGTTAAAAATGAATGTAGGTTTGTAAGCACCTGATCAGAAATTGGGAGATAAGTTGTGGACTTAGATCCCCAGGTGGTTAAAAACTGACAGCTACATTCAAGTTGTACATCTCATAAATTACTTACTTCTTTACCAAAGGAGTGTTTAGGGTGGTTTGGAAATGGTTCTGAATAGTATGAACTAACTCAGATGGTCTCTTTAGCTAGTGTTTTTAGCTCTGGTCATCTTCTCAGTTCTGGGATTGTTTAATTTTTTAATTTTCCAGGGTCACAAAAATCCAAGGTTAGAGACTAAATTGTTACAAATGTCTTCTGCACCTTCATTTACTGCCCAGGAATCTCTACTCACAGAATTATGGAGGGTGGAGGATGAGGGAAAAAGGAAAAGGAAATTTTATCATGCTAATCTTTCGCCTATCTGGGAGACAAGATTTCCCTAATCAGTATGCAAAGGAGACAAAGGCCTCCAGCAGAGGTCAGCTTCTGAGAAGGAAACAGTGGCATAACTAGGTGCGAATGCTTTCGTAAAAGGATGGTGGTGGTGGTGTGTGTGTGTGGGGGGGACATTCCCATTGCTCACCAAGTGTTTTTCCTGAGGCTTCCACATCCTCCCCTGACTCTTCATTCATAACAACAGTGATAACTATGATGCTTTCAAATTAGGCAGATGGCTTTGCATTAACTTCCCAACTCACTTTATAATGCAATAATTCCCCAGGAGACAAATAAACCCTAAAGAAGCCTAGAATGTGTCCATTTAAGTGCACTTAAACCTAAACACTTATCAGTGTAAAGAGATGCAATAAAAAACAATCTCACTACTGGAAAGAAAACTAATGGGTTACATAAGTTTAAATTCTCTCTTGCCCTTACAAATGAATCACTTTATCCTTATAGAACTCCGAAAGACTCACACCTTAGAAAAGGGAATGAAGTTTTCCAAGTCTGATTCTCATATCAAAATCTGGATGAAGAAAATTCAGATCTACAAACTTCTATTTCTAGCAATAAGCCTTTACTGACAAAAGATTCCTCACATACATAATGATCTTTTAAATTTCCCAACTAAGTGTCTTCATGCATCATTTCATCTAAATGGCAAAGCACAACAGAAAATGAAGGTAAGCAAATATTTAGTTCACCATGCTTACTAAGACAGAAATACTACTCCTTTTCCAACTCTGTGTCTCTGACTCACAAGAGGGCAACACACTCCAGGCTCCATCACTCAGCAGGAGCTACTGTCCCACCATCCATTGTCTAAAATACTTACACTTTGTGACAAGGATGCCACTTCATGCGCCCATGAGGAACCTTAAGGGGAAGGGATTTTGCCTAATATCAGATGCACAAGTCACAGGCATCTGCTGGGTGACTGGGCACTGAGGCGGCTCTCTTCTCCTGCACCTTAGTTTCCAAAACTGCAACAACGTGGGTCTCCTCAAGAGGGCAAGAGTTTGAAAGGGAATGATTTACTCTGAAAGTAAACAAATGGCTGGGAGGGAAAGTCTCATCCTTGGGAGGCACACACTGTATGTACAAAGTAGACTTTCTGTAACCACCACAAATAGCAATAACAAAAAGCAGGAGGGAAGTTAGTGACCTCAGAAATTATAGATACCATTTAGAAGGATGAAGAAAAAAGTCAGATTCCGTTTTCTACAGAATCTGTGGTCTGGGATGTTGGACAGTAAAACCATGCTAATTTCTAAATCAAATACCTAAAAATGAACAAATCTCTGTCAATCCTCGGCAGCTTTCATTTTCCTAAGTCTTAAAATCTGTTAACGCTAATTAGGCCTAGTCACCTAATGGCTTAAGAATTACAATCTTACACAGGAAAATAAATGTAGGGAATTTATAAATCCAGTCAACCCTAAATATAATCTGGTGGTCAAAAACAAGTTTAAGTTCTCTATTAGATAGTAAGCAAAATGAACTACTTGAGTGCACCTGGGAAATGCCTGTAGCAGAGCAAGAAGAGTGTAAAAAACTCATTCGTGAGGCCCTGAGAAACTAATGCCTCAGAGTTAGGGGGGTTGGGTGCGTGGAATGCCTCCAGGATTAAGTCCTAATGGGCTGTGAGAAAAGATGTGCAGAAGAACCTGAACATGCCTAAACATGCAGGCTCTTACCCACTCATGGGCACTTGACACTCATGATACAGACAGAAAAATGCACCGGTATTCACACATCGACCTGAATAAACTGTCAGGGTTATAAAAATGAGGTCCATATCTGTTACCTTGGAAACTGTTTCCTTTCCAGTTCAGACACAGGAAAACATGACAAGTTACCTCTTGACTTTATTTACCTGGGAAAACATAAGAGAAACAATTTACTCAAATGCAGATGGTGTGTATGTGATCACCAACACTTTCACAAGTAAACACAGTGGTTTTGGGGGGGTGTGGGACTATGCATCTGAATAGACGTGATCCTATGCCTCTGAATCATGCACGGCCTTAGAATCCAAGATTACCTCAATTAAAAAAAATTACAAAGAAGGTATCTACTTTATCTAACACCTTAAAAAATATATACTGGTGTTGGGGCTTTTCCTAAGTTCCTTCTCCCCACTTCACTTGCGGTCTACTCCTAGTAGAGTTCTGAGACACAGTTAGAAGCGCTCGTACGTGCAAGAAGGATCCGAAACACTGTGCAGTAAATACGGTGATTAGGATATTGGGCCTCTGGCTTTTGGCCCAGCTATCTTCAGCGATAAATTTACAACTCTTTCTCCCAGGCCACCTGCAGAAGATCCTGTCACCGGCGGTCCGCCTCCGAGGCGCGCGCAGCACGCCCTTCCAGGCTGTCAGAACCCGGGCGCAGCCACACACACGCCAGCTTCGGTGGCTTCTCGAGCCCCGTGGCATCCCCGGGACACTAAAACAAAGTGGGTTTTCTCAGCTGCTTTCTCACGAGACGTTCTAAGGAAACCCATTTGTGTTCTGAAGGGGGCTCGTTTTTCACCCGCCTAAATGATTCTCCTCCCTCCTCTTTTAAAACTGGAAACTCCTGTGTCTACGTGAGCTCGGGCGAGCGCGCACAGGCTCAAGAGCAAACTCTGGCTCGCCAGGACCCGCGGCCCTGACAGCAGTGTCTGGAGAAGCCGCCGCCGACCACGCGCGCCGCGACGACGGACCGCAGCCTGCGCCCCGGACCTCCCCGGCGCTGCGGGTGCGCGCCCCGCCGCGCCCGGGTTAAAACTTACGGGGCAGCTCGCGCCGGCGAGCGGGAGCGCAGAGGAGGGGAGCGAGCGGCGGGCGCCGGAGAGGGGTCCTGGCCGCGCGGCCGCGGGGAGCTGCCCGGAGCCTCCCGTCTCCGCCCCCCAGCCCCGAGCCCCCGGGAAAGCAGTCCCCGAATGTCTCCCCATCCCTGCGCGGCGGCCCCGCGGGAGTGCCAGCGCCCGGCAGCCCGAGTCTCCGCGGGTCTCCCCGAAGGCAGCCGGGGCGCTGTTCCAGGGCCCCCTCGGCGGCCGTGCCTGCACCCGCGCCGGCCCTTTGTCCGGCTGCTCCGCGCCCCGCGCCCCCCGCCCGCCCGCACTCACCGGCCCAGCCCGCGGGCCTCGCCGCCGCTCAGGCAGGTGTGGGGCGCAGAGGGGCGCGCGGCTCCCATGCCCGCCGCCGCCGCCGAGTCAGCCCACGGGTGGGCGAGCCGCGCTGCGGAGGGCGGACCCGCCCCCGCCCCCCGCCCTGCCCCGCCCCCGCGCCCGGGCCAGCCCGCCCCCCGCGCCCCGCCTCCCCCCGCGCCCCGCCTCCCCCCTCCCGCCTCAGGCGGGCCGGAGCCGGCGGGCACCCACCCTCGGGCACCCACCCTCGGGAGCCCGCCCAGGCCTTGGGCGCGCAGGTGGCCCCGCGCCGTCGCCCCCTTGGAGCCAGCCCGCCCCGCCCGGGCCCCGCGCTCCTCCGCTCGGCCATTCCGGGCGCCGGCAAACCTCGGGCGCAGTGTCCGGAGCGAGCCTGGGGCTTTCGCCGCTCGCACCCGGGCCCGGTTGTCCCCGACGGCCACACCCCAGGCCAGCTCGGGACTGTGGGGGAGGTCCCCGGGCCCCGGGAGCGCCGCCGCGCGCCTCAGAGTGGGGGGAAGCGCTGCGGGCTCCCCCTGCACGGCGCGGGACGGCTCGGCTGGGGGTGCGCCTGCCGCGCTCTGTCTCCCCGCGGCCCGCGGTCGGAGCCCGGAGCTGGGCTCCCCCCGCAGCGCCTTGGGCTGGGGCGGCCCTGAGCGCGGCGCAGGGGGTTGGGGCGCTCCCGGGCCACTCCAGGGGGCGCCGGCCCCTGGCCCGCCCGGCCAGCGGCGCACTCCGCGGGGTCGCCGGGGGCCGCGCGCGCGCGCTCCCCGGGCCAGCGCTGCTAGAGCCGTGTCCGGACCTGGGGCGACGGCGGCCTCCTGCTCCCCACGTCAGGGTCGGTGTTGAATAAGCCGCCGTTTGTGGAGCGCCTCTGCGAACCAGCCTTGCATGGGGTGCCGCTTGTGCTGACGAAGGTGCAGATCACCTTTATTTTACAGACAGAAAACACGTTTACAGAGGTGCAGTGACTTGACCCAGTACCAGACTTTCAGCCTTATTTTTCACTTTTAAAAAGGGCCAAACCTGGTGTTTGACACTGTGATGTTAAGGGCATACCTAATTTATCTGTTTGGGAGAGATTTTAAATGGGGAAGCCGCTTTTGCTGGAAATGTTCGTATCTCCACTATTTTAAGGACAAAAGTTCCTTAGACCTCCCCAGAATTGTTTTATTATTGATAGCATGACTACGTATAAACATAAAACCAAATATAAACTTAAGTTACAGCTTGTGAGCAACTCTGGAATCAAACCAAAACAAGTTTATGAAACAAATGTAAAAATCCCCTCCCAGAGGGCCTCCCTGGTGGCCCAAGGGGTTATGTCTTAGTTAGCACTCTGAAGCTATCTGCAGCCTGCTGAGTTCCATCTGGGAGCTACCCATATGGCGTGGCAGACCTTTCCTGCCTTGCCCGCTGCTCCCCTCAGCAGTGTATTTCAATCAATCTGCCTGTTCTGTTCCCCACTCTGTCTCTGGTGAATCCTCTCACACACCCCCCACACCTCTGGCCTGTACCCCAGCCTTGTATGCATAAATAAATAAATCTTAAAAATAAAAATCCCCTCCCAGAACAATATAATTAAAATTTGCACTGTTTACTTACCCACGACCAGCATCATAGGGACCCACTGCAGAGGTGTGGGTGCACTTGAGTTCTGTGGGACTCCAGCACCTTCAGAGTGCCTGGTGCCATTTGTTGACTTTCTCACTTCTTTCCTTTACTCCAACTACTGGCACTTCCTCTGTTCACACCTTCTGTCACTGTTATGTTTGGCTCTCACTAGATCATTTAGTAATTAACTTTGCACTTGATTCTTATTTGCCATACCAAATGAAATGGTGATTCTTGGTTCTTAGAGGAACAGCACATGGGCAGTACTTGGTATGACCCAGGATGTATTTACATTCATTTTAAAATCATAAATATGGAAAAAATGAAATAATTGCATCTCCAAGTGTGTAATTCCCAACTGGAGAAGCACCTTTAAAGTAAAATATCTTCCTTGTGAAGCTGCAGGTGGAATTAGAAGGCAGATACTTCTAAACTAGGCCCAAATTTTATGAATTTTCCTTCAACAAATATTTATTGAACACATGCAGGGCATCATGCTAAGCACCGAATTAAAGAGAGGTCCTGGGAAGAGAACAGAGCAACATTGCTGAGTGTGTCAGCGCCTTTAACTGTGTGGTTTCCTCCTCTGTAAAAATGGGGCTACCTCATGGGTTGGTTGAAGAACTGAATGAATTTACACCCACCAAATGCTCAGCACACTGCCTGACACACTGTAAATGCTTAATCAAAACAAGCTATTGTTTTATCTGTTATAATCAAGATAAGCAGTTGTTTTATCTGTTGTGCAAAAAGAATGAGCACCACCTCCACCCACTTTGACATTCCTTGCTCATTTGTCCTGGCAATTTTCAAAATTTACATTGTAACCCAATTAGGGAGATCCCATCAAGGAGAACAAGAGGAGTAGTCCATCATCCAGAGAAAGAAACTGAAACATGGAAGGACTAAGAACATGTAGGGGTACAGGAGAAAATTTCCCCTTCTTGGGTTCTTCTCAAGCTGAATGAGGAAACACAGTAACATCAGCCAGACTAGTAGGAGAAAAAGATTACATTTAATTATAAGCATATGGAGAATTTACTTGGATATAAACTCCCATGAAGTTACATGGAAGAGACTGAGGTTTAAATCCTGACCTAAGGGTCCTGGGCATCGGGGGTGGGGGGGCTGGGGGGGTGGCACATATAATGAGGAGAGGATGACTTAATATGACAAAGTCCTCCATCTACGTGTTTTCCTGGCCTTAATAGAGGTTTATCTGATTAAGGGAGATGATCCTAGATCTGGTAGTTTTCATTCTTTAAGGTCGTGGTAGAAGTTTCTCCCAAGGTCCACATGACCTTGATTGACCTTGGCTCCACATGCCAAGGAAACCTCCTCTATACACCTTGGAAAAGATTTTCTGAACATTTTGGGAGAGGCCAATCCTACAATTATATTCCTTTCCTCTTGCCATTCCCACAGCCAGACCCAATAGTTCTGACTACAGAAGATGCACAGGAGCCCGGGTCGTGGCCAAGCACTACCGTGTCTGTCTTCAGGAGCTGTCAACAGTAAAATAAGAGCACACCATCTGCTTTTAGGTCGTCTCTGTGGTTTTCATAAGGATGATAATGACAGATTTATACAGTGCTTTGAATTCCTTGAGAAATGTCTGTGTCCTCATGCTGAGCCCACATACTTGCTTTGTTTTGTACTTGACCCCCTCCCTTTCCCAAAACAAACAAAAATAAAAAAATCTAACTCCTCATTGCTTCTTGAGAACTCAGCTCAACTTCATAACCATCATTCTCAAATATTTTTTACATGTGCATAGCAATAGAGTTATTTAAAATACCTCTGGTCAAGACCCATATTCATACTTACTGTGTGTAAGGCTACTAAATAGGTGGGAGAGAGAGAAAGCAAATATCCATCACTGTAAAAAGTTTATGCTATGGATATAGACAAAATCAAATATAAAAGAAAGTAAGAGACAGGCTGGATCAGGCTACAGCAAGAGAGCACAGAAGAAGGAATCTTTAATTCTAACCCTGGCAAGTACTGGAGGCTTTCATGAAACGGTGGAATTTGAGTTGAAGCTCCAGGGATAAAGATCTGAGCAAGTCTTTCACAAACAGCATCTCATTAAATTCCTCCACTCTATACCCAAGAAAATCAAAGGTGAATAAGGAGTCTAATGAGAACTGAATTGTAAAAATTATGGCTGTATTTGTATAGCTATATTCCATGCCAGGTAGCATGGAATAGACTTTCTGACATGTAATCTTCAAGGCAAAAAGAAGAATAGACACCACGATTATTGCATTTTACAGTGAGGAGACTGAGGTACAAAATGGTTAAGTAGAAGGGCTGGTGCCATTAGGGCTGTGAAGTCTGCGGGTCTATTCCACTCTTTCCCAGGACTCCATTGTGTTACAATGCTTCTCAGACCTGCCTTTTCTCCTGCTGACCAAAGGAGGTTGAACCAGTTGCTGATGTGCTGCAATATATAATGGCCTTTCATGGCCTCAGAGCAGCAGATGTGATGGAAAGATAGCAAGAAATTTAGAGACCAAAAGTCAATTCTAAATTGCTAAGCTCAATTTTAGTTCTTATTTTGCGTGAAACTAAGACCCATGTGCAACTTCAAAAATTTAAGTTAGTTTGAAAGTCATAGTGAGGATTATTTCTAAGGAGACTAATTTACATGTTTGAAAATCATTTCTGCATGGTTTCTCATTTCTGTGGTGATAATGTGGATCTACTAGTTCTGTACTGCTCTGGCAGGTCAGTAAGTAGAGTTTTCAGTTATATGCAATGAGTGAAAAAATTGGAACGACGGACAACACAGGGCATTACAGGTATATTTGGGAACCTGTTGCCATGAATTTGGGTAATCCCCTCGCTCACCAGCCTTGACCTCTCATCTGTAGAAAGACAACCAAGTGGCCTGCTTGGCTCTTACAATCCTTGAGGCTGTGACAACATAATCCCTACGGAGGATCATCCATGTATTGCTATTTTTTTTAATCTCTGGGCATCCCTACTATGGGTCCTGGAGTAGCAAATAACGTGGAACTCTGGAGTCAGACTGACTTGGATTCAATTTAGAATTCATTTAGTTACAGGAAATTCATTTAGTTACTGAGTGACCATGGACAACTTATGTCACTTTCTGTGCCTCACTTTTCTCAGCTGTGCAATGAGGCTAATTTAGGGCTGTTGTAAGCACTCAGAGAGATAATCAGTCCAAAGCACAAAGCACCCGGGTAACATAAAATAAATTGTAAATTGGCATTATCTATTATTATTAGCAGTAGTATTTTTTTTAAAGATTTATTTATTTATTTATTTATTTATTTATTTATTTATGCAAGCACTGGGTACAGTCAGAAGCACGGGAGGGTGAGAGAATTCACCAGAGCCAGAGCGGGGAACAGAACAGGCAGAAGGACTGAAAACACGCTGAGGGGAGCAGTGGGCGCGGCAGGAGAGGTCTGCGCACCATGTGGGACCCTCGCCTGCGGCCAGGCATGGAACCAGCGCTGCAGGGGTTGTGGGCAGCCTCGCAGCCCAGTGCTCAACCACTGCGCCACCGGGGAGGCCCTAGCAGCAGTATTAATATTAGTGAATGCTCAATTCATGTTTTAAATTTTTTGAATGAATGAATAAACAAATGCATTAAATTGTTATAGCGTCAGCACTGAAAGCTTAATTCAGACTTTCTAAGAAATTTACCTCAGGACTCCTGTTCAATTTCTAAATCTTCTTACCTGCTCTGTAGGCATAAGGGTTCCTTAGTATTGGATTTAGGAAAAATTACAGATTCAA